AAACAAATGGAAAATGGCAAAATCAACTGCTGGCACAGTTAAAAGGCATTTTATTTTCTGCTGCGGAGGAGAACAGAATTCCTTGTTAGATCAGCTAATCTAATAAGCAGAGAAAAAGAATGTTCTCATGAAATTATGCATTCACCTTCTGTTTCCATTTGCTGACATAAAGAATCCATCTAATTGGATTTTCTCCTTGGGGAAATCTAAAGTAAATGGGTCTGTTGCTGTCACGTTTCCAACAGGCCATTGTCCACCCACCTCTCTCAGTTTTCTCAAGGAGCCTTTGACTTCCAGCTCCTTTTAAATTAGACGTGTATCTTAGAAAGCTTCAACTGAGCACCTTCTCAGTTTCATGCATGGCTCCTTGGCAAGTCATGGTACCTGAGAAGGATATGAGACATGTGTTCATGGGGTTGGGAAGGGATAGCCCTAGACAAAAAAGGGAATGTGCCTGCGGCGTTCTCCTCAAATTCATCCATCCATATGTCTGTGCATCCATCCGTCATTCCACTCAGCATGTATTTATCCAGCACTTAGCAGAGCACCTGCAGCAGGCACTCAGTAAGTATCTCTTGCTCAGCTTATAAAGGTAGCACTGCACAGTGGTTTAGAGTACAAGTTCTGAAGCAAAACTCCCCAGGGGCTGCCATATATGGTATGACCCTGGACGGGTCACTTAACCTCCCTGTATCTCGGTTTCCTTGTTTAAATTGGGGTAAAAATATTATCTAACCCAGAGAGCCAGATACTAGATACTATCAGGATTAAATGAGACACACATAAAGGGCTTAGCACAGTTCTTGAGCCAGGGTGGTGCCTCAATGATGAGCTAAGAGCCCTCCTGTGGTTTACATTCTTGAGGGGGAGATAGTCAAGTAAGTACACCGATGAATAAACAAGATAGGAAACCAAAGGGGTTCTATGATGTGGGGAACAGTGGTGATGGTAGCTACTTTAGGTAAGATGGTCAGGAGACGCCCCTCTAGGAAAATATTTAAAGTAATACCTGAAGGATAAAAAGGAGCCAGCCTCATGAAAATAGAGAATATTCCAGGCATACCAATTGCGAAGGCCCTAAGTGGTGGAATAAGGTGTGGAATGTTCTAGAATAAGCCAGAAGGCAGCATTGGCTAGGGTAGAGTGAGCCACAGGGAAAGTGGGCACAATGCATTGGGGGGATAAGGTTGTGAGCATCTGGGAGAACATGGAAGGCACTGGAATTTCATTCCAAATGTGATGGGAAGGCATTCAAGGATTTTAAGCAAGAGTAGCTTGACCTCAAAGTTGGACCTGGATGGCTCCATCACTGCCCTGGGCTCTTCACAGCCTGAGGGAAATGTGAGGTGGACAGTCCAGCACTGAGAGGAAATCAGAGCAGAGAGAGGATGGGTTCTGTTCCTCAATATGTGGACCATGGATAGATACTCAATTTCAGGAGCCCTCACTGTGGAAGCACGGACCCATGGGATTGAGCAATGGAGAGGGTCCTCAGAAGCCATGCCATCTGGTCCCTCTGTCTCTTCTCTCAGTCTCTCACGTGAAACTGAGGCTTGAGGAAGCTCCGAGTTTTCTGAGCTCACAGTGCTGGGGCTGATACCCGAGAGCCTGAGCATCCGTTCTCCCTGAGTGCCCTCCCTCAGTGCCATTTGAGAGGATGTGACACATACAAATGGCATTACTGCATCGGAGCTCTAAGTCACCATTTCTCTTCCAGACTCTGAGAAAAACTCAGAAAGGAGCATGTCATCAGAGTCCTAGCTGTAGGGGGACACGCAGGAGCCCCTGCTTCAGCCTCTTTCAACAAGAGGAAACACATGACAGTGCTTAAGAACTCTCTAGAGCTCGAAGTATGACTGTATTTCTGTTTAACTTAAGTGACGTTTGGACAACAATGAAAAGCCGTAGGGTTTTTTAGGCAGAAATATTCGTGGGTCTTATTATTACTGTACTGTCACGTTTTAAAATCCTGTGATTAATTTTACTGCTGTTAAACCCCCAAATTCCTCTTGTCCTCAAGTTTGCTGACTGTCATCTACCAAAAGCTCTTCTCCCCTCCCCGGCTTTCCTGGCAGATTTTCGATCTCTCTCCTACGTGAAACCAGTCTTCTCGGACCTCCATCTAAACTAGCTTGCAGTTAGAAAGCCTTAAAATTATCTCTCTTTGTTCTACAAACTCCTGCATGTGTTACTCCTTTTAGTATTAGATATTCACATACCTTGTTCATTTGGAATAGGATCCAGCATTTTTGAGTAATTACTAAATTGCCAAATAATTACTAAATTATTAATCAAATACAATATGAGTAAAATAATAAAATTATTAATAAATAGTAAATAATATAAGTAATAATAATATAATTTAAATTATGTTAAATTTTTCTTGTTCTCTGTTCTCCGTGATCTTGAAGATGACCAAGTCTCCTCCTTCACCAAGACCACTGAGGCCATTACGAGTCCTGCCTCACGCGGGCGACAGCTCCTGCTGCCTCCTCACCGTTACCTGTGCTCTGTGCGTCCTCTGCCCGCTCCTCTGCAGTTCTGCCCCCTGCCCCCTCTCTGTCCCCATTTCTCCAGCCTGCCCCTTCAGATGACCACTCCCCTCAAGTTCCTGCCTCTTGACTTCACAATCCATCTCTCTGCTTCCCTTCAGAATTACCCCCTGGAAAGATTCACTGACCTTCCCTGTCCTGATCTCCCTCATCCACCCCTGCAGCTGCCCCTGCAAGGTCGCCAGCCTCCCACCCTTCCTGGAGCTCTCTGCCCCATGAAGGACGGCCACCACCTCCTTCTCCAAACTCCTTGTCTCGGGCCTCAGTGGCCTCCCCCACCCACCCCTGCCCACTCTCCCTTCCTCTGCTCCTGACCCTCCTGGCAGGACTTTGGTCCCCCTGGCAATGAGCCTGCACAGGGAGGTCCTGTGACAGCTCGGAGGAGGGAAGCTTAGAAGATAGGGGTTTGAGATCAGAAGCCAACAGGGAGTTAACATCCTCCAGCATGATTTGTGTACCCCTGAGCAGAGTGGAAAGTGAGGGGTGCGGGAGAATCCGTGCGCCGTTGTCAGTGAGTGTGAGAGATTGTCTCTGTGTTATGTTTTTGGCACACTCCTCTCAAACACTCTCTGTTAAGTAGAGCGCAACTCAGGCCCCCTGTAAGGGTCTAACTGAGTTAAACCAGGCATATCCTAAATACACTGACATCTGTATAAAACAGGGAGATTGCTCTCAATTCTGGACTTGGCCGGGAGAAATCTGCCTATCGGGAAGGTGTCTCTTATCTGTTATGTTTGCAGCATTCCCACCTCCGTTCCTTCCCTCCGTGTTTATCAGGTCTCTGGTTGTAAACCCAACTCCAACCAGCTGAAGCAAGAGAGAGGGGTTTATTGAGGAAGAGGAGAGGCAAAGTGGGTCCCCGGGGTACCTGGAAGGTCTCCTCCTTTCTGTCACAGCTGAGTGGTTGCTCTTTTCCCTAAGTAGCATCCTCCTGAAGCTAGGGAGCAGGCTGAAACTTTGAGAACAAAGAGGAAAGACCTCTCGCCTGGAAGCTACTACGTGCTAGGTACTGTTCTAGCTGCTGGATACAAAGATAAATCAGGACGCTGCAGCCTGGTAGGGTGACAGGGGAAGCGTAAGTAGCACTCCAAGCAGGCTGCAGGCAAGAATTGTGACTGATTAGCTTGTCCAGGTTCATCTCTGACCGGACGTGGAGTGGCCCCCAGCAGAGTCAAACGGTGTGAAGTGCATTCTGTGAAGACAGGGGAGGGCAGACAGCATCATCACTTGGCACTGCACCTCCTGCAGACTCCAGTATTTAAAAGAACTCTCGGCTCCTTATTTCCCAGACAGTTACAACCAAGGCTCTGTGTAGGGCCCTTCCTTGTCTCACACCAACCGGGCTGCCCAGATTCCAGACCCTCAGGTCTCCTGGTTCTGCCGTCCTCTGCCTGGAATTCTCTTCTCTTCCCACCTCTCCTTTGCCTGGCCACCTCCTACTCCATCTCCTAGCTCCCTCTATAAAGCCTTCCCCTTCCACTTCACTCCACCTGCTGTGTGCTCATTCACCCAGTAAGGCTCTGTTTCCACCTCTGTGACAGCCCTCCCCACACTGGATTACGCTTCCCCTGTCACCCTACCAGGCTGCAGCGTCCTGATTTGTCTTTGTATCCAGCAGCTCCAACAGTACCCAGCACACGGTAGCTGCACGGGAAATACTTGTTGCAGTTATGTTGAAAATGATAAAATAGTGCTCCTTACAAAAGAAATCACGAAATAATTTAAAATCTAAATAAACCCATGCTTTTCTGTCATCACCGAAGATCTAGTAGATTGCATACAATTTTAATGAGGATAAATAGAAGTTTTTCTCTTCTTTCAGTGCATCTTAGAAATTCAATATCTTAGTGTGTCCAAAATCATTTTTCCTCACCTCCTACAGCACTGCTTTTAACATTTCATTGTTGTTCTCAGCTCTTCTTTGACATCTTCATACCGACAGCTGGTTCTCTCACATACGGAGAACCAGCAGGGGCAATATTGTGGATCCAGAATTATTTTCCCAATAGGTAGTTTAGCCATTGATTCTAGATAGTGGGGCTTTGTGACTTCCAAAAGGGTGGTTCTCCCAACTTGGAAATCTGCATGTGCTGCTTTTGTGTGCTGCGTGTGTGTGTATGTATGCATGTTCCAGTGTGCATGTGCACGTGTGTGTGCATGTGTGCATGCCTGTGTGTGTTGGAGGAATGAAGTGGGAGTGGGTAAGGAAGGGCCATGTACTGTGAGGGCTGCCGTTCAATGCACACACGTCTGAATCTCGCCTGCCTGACTCGCCCCCTGACTTTCCCTGGATAACCTGAACAGGCTGAAGGTCTTATGGGAGCCTCATTGGGTCATCTGTAAAGTAAGGAGGGGTCAGACCTTGCTCCCTGCCGCCTGGACATTCACGAGCAACCTATCAATGTGACTCTACACTCATCTCTTTATGTTGTTTGCATTTTTCCACAGAGGTCTCATTGCTAGCGGTTTCACGGAAACCCATTATCTGCAAGATGGCACTGATGTCTCCCTTGTTCGAAATTACACGGTAAGTCCTGCATGTTTGAATCGCCATGATACTACGCTATCAGATCAGTGCTAAACTTGGTAGCTGTTTTATCCTAAGCAAAGTCACACTCCCTTCACTCAGGCCCCGAGAAGAGCTCCTGCATCACTTAGTGCTTGGTCATTCCATTCTAACTGCAGGAAAACTTGGCTGGGTATGTGCTAGGACAGTCCTTGGAGGTATGGCCTTACTGCAGGCTGACCTGGAAGCCACCTGCCAATCACTGCCGGGTTGCCCTTCTAGAAAACCCAGCCAAAGTTAGAAATGGCTCAGAAAGCGGTCATCCCTGGGCTGAACGTGGCTGCATTGAACTTGGAAGTACCTTAAAGAATTTCAAAGGAAAATGGACTCTGTTTAACCTACTTATTATAGATGTTTCCACTATGTTGATATGATTCTGTATCATGGTTGTTACTGTAATGTAACATTTGTCACATCTTACTCAGCTTTTCTGGTATTTGATGTTTTATATGTAACTTGAACCAGATGCTAATTTTATTTGTTCCTTTAACAAACACTTACTGTGCGCTCTCTGTGCTTGGCCCCATGTGTGAATATGGGGGTTCAAAGAAAGTTTCTGCCTTCTGAGGACTAGGAAGGTTACTTGTTTTAAAGAGCCATGGGTATTTGTTTTAAAAAGAATAAGCTTATTTAGAAGAAGGCTTTACATTCACAATTGAAGCATTGTTGAGCAGCCTATCGTCTGAATCCCCAAGAGGCAGAAACAAGGAGGGGATGTAAGCCCAGCAATTGGTGAATTGGGGTTATGGGGTCCCAGAAGGCAATTCAGGGCCCAGAGAGAGGACCTGGTACTTGGGCTTTGGGACAAGAGAAGTGGGTGTCTACGACTGAGAATCCCACAAAAACTGGGCCCCCAGAGAAATGTTTCTTCTGTGAAAAAGGGACAAGAAAAACTCCAGTCCAGAGAAGGGGCAACAGAATGTGTTGTCTCCAAGTATCTGGGATTGAAGAAAGATTTCATAAAACATAGAGAAATTGAAACCCCACCTAACCTCATAAGTGTATGTTTGGAATGGGGTGGACTGGTATCTAAATTTCTAATACCAGCATGGGAGTAGAATTCTCAGTAAATATATTGTCCTCAAAACTGGTCCCAAATCAGCAACTCTGGGTCCCTGAAGCTGACGCCAACCCAAAGTTCTATTGGGATATTTCTACAGCCCAGATTACATGAGATGCCCATGTAACCAAGGACAAAGAATAAAAATATTAAAGATGAAATCAAAATTACAAAACACACAATGATAAAAGCCACTGTGAGCAAGCATCAGGGAACAAGAGAAACAACAGAATTAGCACCTCCAGGAATGCAAGATGATAGAAAAATCAGAGAAAAAATTTAAATATTTTAAAGAGAACAGAATAAGCTTCATAGAAATTCCAGAGTAAAAATTCAGAAGAAAATTAGGAAAGAAGCAATGTTTAAACAGAATGTGATGAAAATGTCCATGAATTGAAGAAAGATATGACTTCCAAGTGGGAAGAATGAAAATAAACCCACTCCAGGGTGGCTTGTAATGAAACTGCGGAACCAAAGATGGAATCTTAAAACCACCGGAGAGGAGAGAGAGATTTGTACAGAATGACTATTGGACCGACAACAGACTTCTCATGAGCAGCTATGGGATTAAAACTTCAGAGAGCTGAGGAAAAATTATTGTCAACCTCCATTCTATACTCAATTAAATTATTTTACAAAAAAAGAGTGAAACACATTTTCAAAGACACATTACAAAGACAAGAGAATTTACTGTTCTCAGATTCTAACAAGCAGTATCTACCAAAGAAGAACTACCAAAGAAAATCTTAGTAAGAAGAAAATTGAACACAGGAGGCGAGGGTATCATGTCAGAGGCAATAATAAGCAAAATAATTGCATGTGAGTAAATCTAAATAAGGTATTTAAAATAGTAATTGCAGCAATAATGACTAAATTTGGGTGTTTTAAAACAAGATGAGCAAATAGATTTAAAACAGTTTAAGAATTTGTATTCTACTAGAGAATAATAAAGATGTTGATTAACTTTAGATTTTGATAAGTAAAGTATGTATCTTGCAAATTAAAGTATAACCCTTAAAAGAATAGAAAAACAGAATGTATAATTCCAAATAACAGATGGTGAAGTATCAACCCAATAGAAGATAGGAAAGAAGGAAAATAATTTAAAAGAAGCAGAGTAAATATAAAACACAAAATAATATGATAACAATGAGTCAACATATTAATCTAATTATATGTAAATAGACTGAATCTGTTTGTTAAAGTAAAAACAGATTATCTGCTTAGAACTTAAAATCCAGCTACATAATTTTTACAAGATTCACACTCAAAATATAAAATCATTGTAAAAGGAATAGAAAAAGATACAGTAGACAAATCTTAACCCAAAGAAAGCTGCCATAGTAGTATTAATATCAGACAAGCTAGATCTTAGGGCAAAAAAAGGGCATTATTAGGGATAAAGGGGGTGATCACTTAATGATAAAAGGAACAATTCAAAAGGATGGTGAACGTATTGTGAACCTATATGTACCTGTAAAATAGTCTCAAAACATATAAAGCAATAATCAAAATAATTATAAATATATTGACAAATCTGCAACCAGAGAGGGAGATTTATTTATACTTCTCTCAGAAATAAAGATTTTTAAAAATGAGCAGAAATTAATGAAAAGGAAGACAAAAAAAATTGAGAGAATTGGGGCCAGCTCTGTGGTGTAGTAAAGTTCGACATGTTCTGCTTCAGTGGCCCAGGTTTGCAGGTTTGGATCCTGGGCGCAGACCTACACCACTTGTTAGCCATGCTGTGGCAGCGACCCACATATAAAGTAGAGGAGGACTGGCACAAATGTTAGCTCAGGGCTAATCTTCCTCAAGCAAAAAACAAGGAAGATTGGCAACAGATGTTAGCTCAGAGTTAATCTTCCTCAGCAAAAAAAAAGAGAAAAATTGAGAGAATCAATTAAACCAAAAGCTCGTTCTTTGTAAATATTAAACAAAAGGAACAAAACACAAATCAAGAAGAAAGGAAGAATTCCCAAGTAAACAATATTAGGAATACAAAGAGGGTTGTAACTGTTGCTGCACAGAGATTTTTTAAATCACAAGAATGTTATGAACAATACTAACCATTTTCTTAAAATGTAGATTCCTAACACCAGTTCAAGGTGAAATAAAAAAATTTAAATATAACTATATAATGAAATTAAATCAATAGCAGTATTTTTAAAATCCATCCCCAAAAATAACATCAAACCTAAATTATTTTATCAGGTGAATTTTACAAAACCTATAAAGAAAAAATGGTTCCTGAGAATCAAAAAAAAAAAAAAATGTTTAAAGAGAGGAGAGAGGAACTACCAAAATCAGAAAAAGAGCATCTACAAAATGAATATTATAGACTAGTTTTAATTATGAACATAGTTGCAAAAATCCTAAGTAAAATAGTTACAAATCATATCCAGCACATGTTTTAAAAAATACTTTATGACCAAATGGTACTTATCTGAGAATGCAAAGATAGTTCAACATTAGTATATCTAATAATATAATTCAATGTTTAATGTCTTCAGATGAAAAATATTATTAGAAATGATATTACTTCTTCAAGTATAATCTATATCATTTATTGTGTAGATTCTAAGAGCTCTTGTGGGTGGGGAATGTTTCTTGTGTCTCCTTCCTGCCCCCGAAGGGCCTCCCATAGCATCTTGCATACTCTCGATTTTCAGAAAATGATTCATTTAGCCATTGCAGCATCTTAGGTAATGCCATACAGAATCCATTCATTTACTTATTCATTCACTCAGCAAACATTTATTAAGCACCTCTGTGTGCAGGCAGTTAGGCTATGAAGATACAGGTTGACTAAAATATATTCCTTGGCATGTAAATTCTACTAGAGAGGTGGGGCACTTAAAAAACATAAAAATAATTATGTTTTAATATAATTGCTACAATACAAGGTATATACGAAGTACTGTTGGGACATTGTGGAGGCCGCAGTCAGTTTTAACTCATTAGAGGCCATTTCAATGAGGAGATGATATTTAATCTTGGTCTTTAAAAATGGGTGAAGAAGAGAACAGTTGGTATGAAACCCTTTGGTACTAACGAGTTTTGGCTTTATCTTACCGAAAAATGGAAGCCATAGAGAGTTTTCCTGCAGGGGAATGGCATGTTCAGTTCTATGCTTTAGAAGGAGTCTCTGATGGCAGAATGGAAGGCAGATTGGTAGGAAGACTGGTAGACAGAAGGCAAGAAGATTTGTTGGAGGCTTAGTGTCGTTGATGAAGGTTATGTGTACAGAAGTAGACCTTGCAATGGATGGAGCTGGCCAAATGCAAGAGAACTTGAGGAGGCAGAAGAGACGGGATCTGGTGATAGTGGATCAGGAGCTGTCACCAGCAGTGCTCTCCCTTCTGGTTAGGCTGGCAGATGGGCAATTTGTTTTTCACTGGCACCATTAAGGAGCAGTCTTGGTTTTGGAAGACAGAGGAGACAATGAGTATAGGTTTGTCCCTATTAGTTTGTAGTGAAACAGCCAAGTAAAGGTGTTCATTAGGCATTGGATATATGACTCTGAGGCACAAGAGAAAAGCAGAGGCCAAAATGAAGATTTGAGGATCAACCTTAGATATAAGTCATAGTTGCTGCCATGACTTCACATTTTTTGTGTGTGTGAGGAAGATCAGCCCTGAGCTAACATCCATGCTAATCCTCCTCTTTTTGCTGAGGAAGACCGGCCCTGAGCTAACATCTATTGCCAATCCTACTCCTTTTTTTCCCCTTTTTTCTCCCCAAAGCCCCAGTAGATAGTTGTATGTCATAGTTGCACATCCTTCTAGTTGCTGTATGTGGGATGCCGCCTCAGCATGACTGAACAAGCAGTGCGTCGGTGCGCGCCTGGGATCCGAACCCCGGGCCACCAGTAGCGGAGTGTGCCCACTTAACTGCTAAG